TCGTCGTCTCGTCGTCGTCGTCGTCGTCGTCGTCGTCGTCGTCCGTCGTCGTCGTCTTCAGTCGTACGTCGTCGTGTCGTCGTCGTCCGTCGTCGTCGTCGTCGTCGTCGTCGTCGTCGTCGTCGTCGTCGTCGTCGTCGTCGTCGTCGTCGTCGTCGTCGTCGTCGTAGTAGTAGTAGTAGTAGTAGTAGTAGTAGTAGTAGTAGTAGTAGTAGTAGTGGTAGTCGTAGTAGTAGTAGTAGTAGTAGTGGTAGTAGTAGTAGTAGTAGTAGTAGTAGTAGTAGTAGTGGTAGTAGTAGTAATCGCAGTAGCGGGAGTCGTAGTAGTAGTAGTAGTAGTAGTAGTAGTAGTAGTAGTAGTAGTAGTAGTAGTAGTAGTAATAGTAGTAGTAGTAGTAGTAGTAGTAGTAGTAGTAGTAGTAGTAGTAATCGTAGTAGTCGTAGATGCAGTAGTCGTGACTGTAGTTGTAGTTGTAGTTGTAGTTGTAGTGGTAGTGGTAGTGGTAGTAGTAGTCGTCGTCGTCGTCGTCGTCGTCGTCGTCGTCGTCGTCGTCGTCGTCGTATTTGTAGCATTTGTAGTAGTCGTCGTAGTATTCTTGTTATTACTAGTAGTAGTATTGCGAATACTATTATTATTGTTATCAACAATGACAGCAATATGGCGAATTATAGTAATCATAAGAAGAAGGAGAAGCAGGATGAGGAGGATGAGGCGGAGACGGAGACCTCTCGGGAGTGGGGCCCTCTGGGAGGCTTCTTGGGGGCCTCCTTGGGCCTCTTGGGGGCCTCTTGGGGGCGTGTTGGAGGCTTCTCGGGGGCTTCTTGCGTTCCTGGCCCGTCTGATTCCGTTAAAACCCGTCCTGGGGGGCCTCTCTGGGCCAAGTTTGCGCCTTTTGGGGCGCTTCAGGGCTGTCTTAGTGGCCATCTTAGGTGCCCTGGAGGTCCGCCGGACCGGTCAGCGCCGCGTCTATTTAGGGACACCCTTCGCACGTTTTGTGGCATGGAGCTCCACCGAAGGCCCAGATCCAAGCGCTCGCGTGCGCCCACCGCGCCCATTTTGGGACGCCCCGTCACGCGCTTCGTGGCCCCATAGGGAGCCCACCGCGTCCATTTTGGCACACCTCGCACGTTTTGTGGGCCCATAAGGGGGCTCCACCGAAGGCCCAGATGCTGGCGCTCGCATGCGCCCACCGCGTCCATTTTCGCATGCCCCTCGCACGTTTTGTGGGCCCATAAGGAGGCTCCACCGAAGGCCCAGATGCTGGCGCTCGCATGCGCCCACCGCGCCCATTTTGGCACACCTTCCACGCGTTTTGTGGCCCCGTAGGGGGCTCTACCGCAGGCCCGCATGCCAGCGCTCGCATGCGCCCACCGCGCCAATGATGGAACACCCCTTAATCGTTGCTTGGCCCCATAGGGAGCTCCGCCGAAGGCCCAGATGCCAGCGCTCGCATGCGTCCGCCGCACTCATTTTTGCACGCACCTCGCACGTTTTATAGCCCCATTAGGAGCTCCACCGAAGGCACGCATGCCAGCGCTCGCATGCGCCCACCGCGCCCATGTTGGGACACCCCTCGCACGTTTTGTGGGCCCATAGGGACCCCACCGAAGGCCCAAATACCAGCGCTCGCACTCGCCCACCGCGCCCACTTTGGCACACCCTTCACACGGGTCGTGCCCCCGAAGGGAGCTTCACCGAATGCGGCGCATACAACGGCAGTGCCCACACTTGCATATGGTTGGGTCTTTCGCCGGGCTAATTTTTTCCCAACCATCTTGTGGTGTTGGGTCCTCGTTTTGAAGAGACAGCGCCCCGCGTCCTCACTCCCTCCTCCCTCCTCCCATCCTCCCTCTTCTCCTCTCCCCCCACTTTGGCGCACCTCTCAAATGTTTCGTGGTCCCAAAGAGGGGGTTCCACCAAAGGCCCAGATGCCAGCCAGCGTTTGCATGAGCCCACCGTAATTACCCGTTTTGGCACACCTGTCACACGGCTTGTTGCCCCATAGGGAGCTCTACCAAAGGCCCGCATGCCAGCGCTCGCATGCGCCCACCGCGCCCATCTTGGCACACCCCTCGCGTGACCTCATAGGGAGTTCCACCACAGGCCCAGATGCCAGCGCTCGCATCCTCCAACCGCGTCCATTTTCGCATGCCCCTCACACATTTTGTGGCCTGATATGGATCCTTTTCAATTTGTGGTTCTTGTTTTAGCTCCGCGCACATTCGAATTCATCGCCCGCAACAGTTTCAAAGACTCGTATTGAAGTCCCAGGAATTGCGTTCTGGCAATCTGTAGGAATGCCAGGACGCAACCGTATCGCCGAGTCGCGGTGTGAATGGTGTTATTGTACGATGTAGGCTTGTCCGGACGCAACAGTCAAGTTGATTCTCGGCGTTGAAGTCCAAGGAATGGTGTTTTGGCACGGTTGGGGATAATCAGGCTGTTGTCTTCTTCTCATGGGGCATGTCCCGCAAAGGACATATCTCATGATGTTTGGCCGATCCCGCCAGTGTTGTGGGTATGTAGCCTAGTGGATGTTCGTTGGGATCTCGCGGGAAGCCTACCTGGGGCTTTTTGGAGGCAGTTTGGTCGCCCCTTGGGGGCCGTTTTTGGGCTTCTTGGGGTCTCTTTCGGGCCTCTTCGGGGCCTCTTGGGGCCTCTTGGGGGCTTCTTAAGGGCCTGTTGGGGCCTCCTGGGCGGGTCTTGGGGCCTCCTGAGGGCCTCTGAGGACGGAAGGTTCGGATTTTCGGTTCGTGTTCTCTCTCTTGGGCCCTTTTGGGGCCGTCTCGGGGCCCTCTTGGGTTGTCTTGGGCTCCCCTTGGGCCGTTTTGGGGACCTCTTGGAGGCCTCTTGGGCCGTCTGCGGGCGGTCTCGGTCCGGGCTTCTGGGGCCGTCTGGGAGCGTCGGGAAGCCGAAACGGCGAGAAAGCCAAACAACTTCAAAAACCAACAGAACATCACAGATTTTGGCCTCTTGGGTCCCTCTTGAGAGGTCTCTTGGAGGCCTCTTGGGGCATCTTGGAGGTCTCATGGGCCGCCTGGGGGCCATCTTGCATTTTTTGGGGCGGTCTCTTGGCGACTCGTGGCCCGCTTGAGCCGTCTTGGGCGCTTCTTGGGGCCCTCTTGGCCCGTCCTGGGGCCCTCTGGGGGCCGCGAACTTCACGCGCCACCACATGGGGGAGCCCAGGGGGCGCGCCGGGAGCCTCAAGAGATTTGAGAATTTGGGGCCCGGGCTCCTAAGAGACGCCTCAGGAGTGAGGATAGAGGCTCAGAGAATTTAGGCAAAACGGGCATGTGGACATGCCCATTCCGTGCCCAGCCAGAGGCACGGTGGCAGACGTGGCGGATCTTCTAATACGGACATGTGAAGAGGGAACTTTGGGGAAGGGTTTATCGCAACATTGCTGACGCGTCTTGCGTTTAAATTGGTCCTCCTCCTCTTCCTCCTCCTCCTCCTCCTCCTCTTCATCCTCTTCCTCCTCTTTCCATTTTCCATCCTTTCCTTCTCTTCCCCTCCTCCTCTCCCCCTCCTCCTTTCACCCTCCTCTCCAGCTCCTGCTCTCCCCCTCCTCGTCTCCCCCGCCTCCTCCTCGGCCTGGCCTCCCCCCTTCCTCCTGGCCTTCCCGCTTGTCCTCCCCCATGCCCCCACCTCCCCGCCGGAGGCCGGGACTCCGCGGCCCTCCTCGGCGCCCGGCTCAGGAGCAGAGCCGCGGGGAGGCCTCCCTCTCTCCCCTCCCTCCCTCCCTCCCTCCTGCTACTCCTCCTCCGAATTACCCGTCTCTTTCTTCTTCTTCTCCTCCTCCTTCTCTCCGTCCTGCTCCCCTCCTCCCTCCGCTTCTCCTCCACATCCCCCTTCTGTTTCTCCTCCTCCTCCTCCTCCTTCCTCTCCGCCCTGTTCAAAGTAATTATCCAACGCTCCACTCCCCCATATTCGCCGCCGCCGCCCCTGCCAAGCGCATGGTTGGCGTTCCCGACAGCGATGTATTGCGGTGTTCATGGTAAAACAGCGTGCGCGACCAGCCTCCTTTTGTCTCGTCCAGTTGATCTGTTATACTTGAGTGCTATCGCACGTCCGCTTACTGGACTATTCCGATACCCTAGATATTCATGGTCTGATGTGCATTTTCTCCGAGGCTCAATTTGGGACTACTACTAGAATATCCAGATGACCGTTCAGAACGTTCGCCAACTAAACAGAAGATCCCTACCAAGGCAATCGCCAGGCAAATGGCTTTCTATCGATGCGGCCAGGTGGAGACAAATTCGCGGCTGTCTTTCATAACACTACGGTCGCGATATACGATCGCCGCAACCACGCTCTCCCGCGCCCTTATACACGAGCGGGATACTCTAGGTCAGAGTTCCATCGGATGAAATCCAACCGACTCACTACAGGGGGCGGCGGGGATGAACCACCAGGCCCGCCCCGCGACCCAGCCTGATCCCAAAGCCCACCAAGGCCAGGGTATTACGATGAACTTGACGATACATGGGACATTCCTCTTGACTGCCTTGAAAGATACGAGGAGGACCCGCTTGGTCTGGAGGGGGCCCTCGACAACGACGATCACGATCCCCCCCACACGCCAGGCTGCCACGACAGCGATGGCCAGGACGCGGACGACGACAGTCCACGCCCACGCCCACCCAGGCACACGACGGCAAAGACTGACGAGGTGAAGGTCCACCAGGACCTCACCGCAGGTAGTCCACTCCGACCCACGTAGCACAAAACTGACATGGACCACGCGGGAGGTAGTAGGGACCCTGCCGTCCCCCTCGATGTCGACAGCCACACCCCTGGGCACATTTGCACCAGCAGCGCCATCCACCTGGGAGAGGATCTGCGCTTGGTAGGGGCCGGGGCGCGGACTGCGCGCCCCAACCCGCTGGGCTGGCCACTGCTGCGGCGCACCTGGCCCCGCAACGCAGCGCTTCCTGCCACCAGGCGTACCCCCGCCGCGCGAGGGAGCGGGGGCCACTGGCCTTTGAAGCACCCACCGGCGTGGAGGCGCCCGTCGGACTCCCAGTGCAGCGCGCCGACCGGAGGAGCGGCCTCACGCAGCGTGTCGCCTTGGCCATTCCACAGCCACCACAGGACCGTCGAGCCGCGCCCACCGCTAGTATCATGGCGCTTCAGCAGCGCGCCTCCAGCCTCGCACTTAAGCGGAGTAACGCCGAGGAACAATCCAACCCCCTCGAGAGGTTCCGAAGAGCACAGTCCGCAGGGTACGACCTCCAACAGGCCGTCCGCACGCGTGCCCTCCCTGGGGCCACTTTCCAGGAGCGCATCCGGGCGCGACTCGTTGCTCACCGCTAGCCCACCAGTGCTAGCCACCTCCTTCCTTTTACACGTCGTGCTCTGCGAGAGCTCCTGGCAACCAGCTCCGTTGTCGTGGCACTGGGCCGCTGCGGGGGTGCCCCAAGGCGGCGCCTTCATGTCACAGGGCTCCGAGGCGCGCGTGCCAAAGCGTGATAAAGCCGAGTCTCCTTTCAGCTTCGGGACTGCAGACGGGGTGTGCCGCATCCCGAATCACCACAGCCCGCCAGTTTGTTTTCAGTCGGGGCCTTCTTTTCGACCGCGCCAGGGGAGAGGTTTTCGCCACCCCTGTCAGTTATTTCAAATCTCACGATAGCGGGGGGGGGCGAAGAAGTTTGACAGCGCGTCTGGGCCCCCCATGAGCGGTGCAACAAGGGGTCCAACATCGAGACCCCCCCACGATCTTGATTGACGAGGCCCGTTAGACTCCCCTAAAGTGGACTCCTCCCCGTGAGTATGAGATCTGGAGTGCATGCGTCGCTTCGCGCCAGAGTGAGGGTGGCCCGGCCAGCACTTGTGCCCGGCGGGCCAGGACACACACCTGTTCGAATCGGTGCGGTCTCCGCCCTGCTCTCCTCGTCCGTCCGCCTCCGCCGCCTCGTCGTCGTCGTCGTCGTCGTCGTCGTCCTCTTCCTCCTCCTCCTCCTCCTCCCTTTCTTAGGCAAGCCGCGGAGACAAAGCTCGTAGCGCCAGTGTTGGCGGGCTATCGACCGCCTGCTTCGTCGCACACGAAGAGGCCGCCAGCATCACGTCCACCACGTCCACCCCGTCGTCCTCCCCCTCTTCTCCTCCTCCTCCTCCTCCTCCTCCTCCTCCTCCTTCTGTCCTCTCTCCTCCTGGTGCTTCTCTTTCTATCCTTCCAGCTCAGGAGAGGAGCCACGGGTGGGCCTCCCTCCCTCCTTCTCTCCCTCCCCCCTTGCTGCTGCTGCTGCTGCTCCTCCACGTTCATTAATTTCCAAATCCATGCGCGCCATGGGCAGTCACACAGAGCAGCATGATGAGATGCCATCGTGGCGGTGTGGCGCCGCAGGCCTCGCGAGGTTCTGCCACTTTCGCAACCTGCAGCGCCAGGGGAGGAGCAACGAGCCTGGGTGGCGCCACGGGCTTCACGGGGACCTGCCACTTTCGCCACCTGGCCAGGCGGCGCCTTCCCAGTCCACCCGAAGGGTGTTACACCTCCTCCCTCTCCGCCCTGCTCTGCTCCTCCCTCCGCCTCCGCCTCCTCGGCTATTCTGTCGCTCTAATTTTTTCGGTTTGTGGGCTCCCAACACTTCCCCAGGTTTTTTCGCCATGAATCGTTTTTTGACGGTCCCGGGGCCCGGCGAGGGCGAGGAGGAGGAGGAGGAGCAGGAGCAGCAGGAGCAGCAGGAGGAGGAGGAGGAGGAGGAGGAGGAGGAGGAGGAGGAGGAGGAGGAGGAGGAGGAGGAGCAGGAGCAGGAGCAGGCAGGAGGAGCAGGAGCAGGAGCAGGAGGAGGAGGAGGAGGAGGAGGAGGAGGAGGAGGAGGAGGAGGGAGGAGGAGGAGGAGGAGGAGGAGGAGGAGGAGGAGGAGAGGAGGAGGAGGAGGAGGAGGGGAGGAGGAGGAGGAGGAGGACGACGAGAACCCTCCAGGTTGTGGTCGCTCCTCGGGGAAGCCTCCTTCGTCGCGGGCGCGCCGCACCGCCGAGGTGCCGAAGAAACGGGTCCTCAACAAGGCGCTGCGTGCCGTGCGGCGCTCCGCCGCGCGCCGCGGCGCGCAGGGCGCAGCGCAGGGCGCGGCGCAGGGCGTTGCACAGGGCGCTGCGCCGCGCGGCCCTGCCGGCGACCTCGAGGCGCGAGCCTTGGCGGCGCCGCTTGGCTCGGGACTATCGACAGGGGTACTGAAACAGAGGGTGCAAAGTCCAACAGCAGATCTTGTTGGGTGCAGGAAGCGCACCACTACCACCTGGGGGGGTTCAGGATGAGCTGGTGAGTGGGATGCGGGTGTGCAAGATGTGCCGCGAGAACGCCCGAAACGCGATGTATATATATATATATATATACATTCATATGTTTATATAAACATATGAATAGACATGTGTATATATATATATATATGGATATCTGTATATATATATATACACAGCACCACCACCCTTGACAACTCTTTGCCTCCATCCTCCATGTGGTGGTGGTGTGATTCCTTCTCCCTATCTTGTTCACTCTGGTCAGGGTTCATTGTCGGCGTCGCCGCTGCCCAGCAGCGGCTGATGCTGGTGTTGGACAACATTTGTTGTTGGGCATCGTACCCATTCTCTTCGTACCCACTTCGGGCGTCCAAAGCCACGCCGGCTCCGGGGCGAAGATCAGAGGAGCACGGGGAAGCGGAAGCAGAAGACCGTCATCGCCCGGAGGCGGCCCAGTGTCGGGCGATGGGCGCGTTGGGCGCGCAGGCACTCTCAGAGGACCATAATTGTGGATTGGCATGAGCGATCATCGGTGAAGTAGCGCAGCGTGCTTTCGACGCTCGAGGGCATGAGGCTCACTTCCAAATCATCTTCACAAAATCTTGTTCGAGCGAAGCCCAATACTCAGCATCCTCAACACAACATGTTCACGACGACCATTGCTTCTGTTTTGCAAATCAGACGAGGTCGTCCGCCCACCGTGTAAAGCACCCTGGACGAAATTTGACTGGGCAGCACTGTACGTCGGGATGGCTCTCCTCACCAGAAATGATCTCTCCATTGCGTTGTTCGTTTCGTCCAACTGGTTTTCGGTATGTTTGCTACCTTTCAGGACCATTTCGGTTTGGATTGTAAGTGCCCTTCAGCCCAGCATTGGACTCCTGCCTGTCTGGCTTTGTCTTCAGCAAGTTTTGTCGCTATTTGACCCAAGTCATCGTCTGGTTTGTGTTTCGGCCCAACCATTTCGCCGCAACGCAAGCCAGCGCAAGTTTTGACTCATTGGAAGCACCGCCGTCCATGCTGACCATCGCGCCCAGTACTTTGAATCCTTCGCTGCACCCATTCAGCGTGTATTCCTTCCCTGCAAACTTCGCTTTGCTGCCTGCTGGAACTCTTTTCCCCGCGCATTTGACACTGCATTTTCGACGTCCAAATACAGACCAATTTTGGCAAGGTTAGTTCTGATTGATTTAAGCATCATTCCAAGAGCTCGCTTTGATTTGGCAACCAAGGTGGTGTCACCCGCGAGCATGGCATATGTAAGCCGATCTGTTTCCAAAATACTGCTGCCAACTATTGTGCCGTATCCTCTTCTTTCCCAGTCTTGCCGGAGAATTGCCATTGCTTCCCGTAATGGGTTCATCAATAATGCCTGTGACAGTGGGTTTCTTTGTCGCACATCACGTGGTATTTGAGATGAGTTTCGCGTGCTTGCGTCCAGCTGAACGTAGGCCCGTTGTCCCAAGTACAGCTCTCGGATTGCGTGAAAATCGTTTTCGTGAATGCCCACTGCTCTGAGGCCAGCAACAAAATACCGCGTATCACCTGATCGAAAGCCTTTCCCAGTCAGCTAAAGCCACTCAGTGGGGATTCGAGGTCACCGCACGGTTTTGGGACTCGGGTCGTTCTCCGAGGACGCCGGGGCCTGTCAAAAGACCGTGCGGTGACGGACAGCGCAGTGAGGTCGTTGGGGATTTCGAGGTCACCCCGCGGTCCGTCGCCACGCCACACGGTTTTCTGGAGGCAGAGGTGACCCTGAAACCCTGGCGTCGAATTTTTCCGCAGCGGGTGAGATTTTGCCTTGTTTCGGGCCCCGGGGGCCCTTACGGTCCGATCCGGCTGGAAGCATTGCCGCAGGAGGGTGGGGTCCCAGCGGCGCTGCGCCAGCTCCGGGTGCAGCGATCCTGAGACCCTGGCGTCTCATGTCTCTTCATCGGGCGAGATTCTTTTGCCCTGTGTCGGGTCCGAGGGCCCTCACGAATTGATCCGGCTGGAAAAAGGATCGCAGAAAGATGGAGTCCAGAAGGACGGGGTCTGAGACTGCGGTCGTGTTTTTTTTTTTTTTTTTTTTTTTTTTTTTTTTTTTTTTTTTTTTTTTTTTTTTTTTTTTTTTTTTTTTTTTTTTTTTTTTTACAATGTTGCATTTTTCGTGACGTCGGCGACGCCGCGCCGTTCGTCGTCGGCGAGGCTCGTCATCATCGCACTTGTCATCGTCATCCTCGTCGGCGTCGTCGTCGTGGCGAGGATTTTCGCGTGCCGCGCGGGGGCGGCGGCTCAGAGGGGCTGGTGCAGTCTCACAGCGGTTGGGCTGCAGTTCTCGGAGGATGACATCCATGCAGATCCACCTCGTTCCCCCCAATCCCTCTCCCAGGGAGGAGGAAAACATTCAGAGGAGGGGGGGAATGAGGTGGATCTGTATAAACGTTCGATCCCCGGTGTCTCGTCTCATGCTGCCCCTGCAGCCTTGTCTCGGGTCGACCCCGCGCCTCGGCCTGCGGCCGCGGCTGCAAGCTGTTGCAGCACGGACGTCCAGGGAGCGCCCTTTACCCGGCATGCTTCGAAGAAGGAAACAATGCACAAACACAAGCTTTTGGAGTTCCGTGCGGATTTCTTGGGTTGGCGCTGGGACCCCCTGGCGGCGCCTCCGGCGTTGCCCCTTGGCGCTCCGCGCGCCAGGGAGGGGGCCCAGCTCCGATCCAAGAAGTCCGAGCGGACCCCCGAAAGTTCAAGTGCTGGACCTGCGGAATTCGTGGCTCTGCGTTGAACTCCCCTCCCTGGCGCGCGGAGCGCGCCAGGGACGACGCCAGAGGCGCCGCCAGGGGGTTCAAGCGCAGATCCGAGAAATCCGCGCAGAGCTTCGTCAGTTTATGTTCATGCCGTTTTGTGTTCCTCTAATGCCTGATTGTAGGGCTCGGGTGCCCCAGCCGCGATGTCCTCGCGAGTGCACGTGTGTTTCCGCTGCGTGATGTCCGACCTCCCAAAACACACTCGGTCGGTTTTGGAGGTCGCCGCGGCGCAAATCGTGGCACGACTTTTGTCAAGGACTAGCGTGCCCCTTCCCGGCCCCCCCCCCCGCTCTGCGATGTAGACGAGGCTCATTATCAACCATACAGCGAAAGAGAAGTTGGAAAGGTTCTGTCCACCATGGGCAGTCCTGTTTTTTTGGCTAGGGGTCGGTGATCACGCAACCAGAATCCGAGTAGGAGATCGACTACAGAATTGATTTACTCCAAGCTTGATTCCTCTCGCTTCGCGGGGTGCACGTCTGGAGCACGTAAAGACTGGGCGTTGGGTGGTTTGCCCTTGCCCTGCTCGTCTGCCGCGAAGTTCTGGCCGCGTCGTTCTGCCCGCTCCAGGGCGCTGCCAGTGCCACTGGGGGCAGACGCGCCCCCCCCTTCAGCGCCGGGACGATCGTGCGAATGCCCACGGGGGCAATGGGCATGCACCGCGTGTCAGCCAGCACAAGGTAACGCCAAGTTCAAATTCCGATGAGCATAGCAATCACGCGCCATTCGTGCATGATTCCGCAGGTGTCCAGGTGGCCTCTAGGGGCCGTTTGTGGGGGCTTCCTGGGGGTCTTTTGGAGGCTTCTTGGGGGCCTCTTTGGGTCCTCTTGGGCTGGCGGTCCTTCCAGTTGGCCCGCCCGATCGGTCTGGCCGACGGCCCGCGGCCGGCGGCGGCGGGGCGGCGGGGCCAGCCTGTGCCGACGCGCGGCAGAGGCTGGGGCCCCCCCATCGTGCGGCGGAGGGGCGGCTGCGGAGGCGCAGTCCCAGGACCGCCGCCGCCTCGTCGCCCTCTTCGTCTCCGCCGGCCTCGTTGTCGCCCTCGGCCTCGCCGCCGCTCTCGGCCTTCCCTGCCGCCGCCGTCTTCGCCTTCGCCGCCGTCTTCGCCTTCGCCGCCGCCTTCGCCTTCGCCTTCCCCGCCGCCGCCGCCGCCGCCGCCGCCGTCGCCGCCGCCGTCGTCGCCGCCGCCGCCGCCGCCGCCGCCGCCGCTGCCGCTGCCGCCGCCGCAGCCGCCGCCGCCGCCGTCGTCGTCGTCGTCGTCGTCGTCGTCGTCGTCGTCGTCGTCGTCGTCGTCGTCGTCGTCGTCGTGGTCGTCGTCGTGGTCGTCGTCGTGGTCGTTTTCGTGGTCGTCGTCGTGGTCGTTTTCGTGGTCGTGCTGTTTGTGTTGTTTGTTTTGGTGGTGGTGGTGGTGGTCGTCGTCGTCGTCGTCGTCGTCGTTGAATTGTTTGTGTTGTTAGTGTTGCTTGTATTGGTGGATCTGGTCGTCGTCGTCGTCGTCGTTGGTGTCGTCGTTGCCCCTCCTCTCTCTTTCTCTCTCTGGCCAGAACTGCGCCCCGCCCGCCCGGCCCAGAAGAGGACTACCTGGCCGAGGGGCGGCGCTCCCACAGCCTGCCCGCCGCGCGACGGCCCGCGGGGTGCGAGAAGCCACTCCCTCCCCTCCCTCCCTCCTCCCTCCTCTCTCCCTCCCTCCTCCATCCTGGCTCTCCGCCCTCCATGCTCTTTCCTCCCTCCTGATTCCTGATTCCCGTCGGCTTTATGGTCGTACAGACGAAGCCTCCTTCTCCTTCTCCTTCTCCTTCTCCTTCTACTTCTCTTCCTCCTCCTTCTCCTTCTTCTCCTCCTCCTCCTCCTCCTCCTCCTCCTCCCGCTTCCCTCCTCCCTCCATCCTCTCCTTTCGCCCCCGTCCTCCTTCCTTCCTTCCTTCCTCCTCCTCCTCTTCCTCCTCTTCCTCCTCCTCCTCCTCCTCCATCCTCCCTCCTCCCTCGTCCCTCGTCCCTCGTCCCTCGTCCCCCCTCCCTCCTCCCTCCTCCGTCCTCCCTCCATCCTCCCTCTCCGCCTTCCAACCTCCATCCTCCAATATCAGCCGTCATTTGTCGTATGCTATTTCATTGAAGGGCGTGATCGTCGCACAGATTTACACTTGGGCGCCTGCTTGGCATGCCAGACGCCCGTCCTGCCCGTCATTCTCCCTATAGTGAGTCGATCTGTGATGGTGAGTGCGTGAATCCGGTACGCATTCGCGGTCTGACCGTCTTTGGCGAAGTTGTCGGGGACATTGCAGATCCTTCAACGTGTTCTGGTGTATTGAGCCGTCCTGTCTATAGTTGCCCTTTCTTTTGATTGGGTTGGTTCGCCAGGCTTTTTTCCCTACCTAGGCTCTGCCTAGAAGGGTCTTACTCGCTTGGCTTAAAGGGGCCGGGCAGTGCAAACCGCCCCGGGCGGTTCCCCCAGTCCCCTGGGAGCCAAGCAAAAGCAACAGCAAAGGTAAAAGCAAACGCGCGGTTCCCCCAGTTGCGCTCCCTGGGTGCCAAGCAAAAGCAAAGGCAAAAGTGAAGGCAAAAGCGAAGGCACAGCAAAAGCATCGCATAGCGCAGCATAGCATAGCGCAGCATAGCATAGCGCAGCATAGCATAGCATAGCATAGCCTAGCCTAGCCTAGCCCAGCATAGCATTGCGCAGCATAGCATAGCATAGCATAGCATAGCATAGCATAGCATAGCATAGCATAGCATAGCATAGCATAGCATAGCATAGCGCAGCATCCACTATTGCTGATGCTATATATATATGTATATGTATATGTACTTATAAGTGTGTGTGTGTGCGTGTGCGCACGTATGTTCCATGCATGTTGTCCGTCTGTGGGCCATCTTGAGCCCTTAGTGGGGCAGCTTGAGCCGTTAGGATTCACGAAGGTTTCGCACATAGCACCGGCCAGGAGACATGAAACCCGACGTATGAACTCCCCAGTGCCCCGCCCTCATCTTCGTGCCTGCTTGCTTTTGCTGCTGTCTCGGCGACTTGCTGCCTGCTTCTGCTGCTGCTTCACTTACGGCGTGGCGTCGGCGGTTCTGGCGCTACTACTACTACTACTACTACTACTACTACTACTACTACTACTACTACTACTACTACTACTACTACTACTACTACTACTACTACTACTACTACTACTACTACTACTACTACTACTACTACTACTACTACTACTACTACTACTACTACTACTACTGACTACTACTACTACTACTACTACTACTACTGACTACTACTACTACTACTACTACTACTACTACTACTACTACTACTACTACTACTACTACTACTACTACTACTATACTACTACTACTACTACTACTACTACTACTACTACTACTACTACTACTACTACTACTACTACTGCTACTGCTACTACTACTACTACTACTACTACTACTACTACTACTACTACTACTACTACTACTACTACTACTACTACTACTACTACTACTACTACTACTACTACTACTACTACTACTACTACTACTACTACTACTACTACTACTACTACTACTACTACTACTACTTACTACTACTACTACTACTACTACTACTACTACTACTACTACTACTACTACTACTACTACTACTACTACTACTACTACTACTACTACTACTACTACTACTACTACTACTATTACTACTACTACTACTACTACTACTACTACCATCGCTACTGCTACAACTACGACGTTGAAGAGAAGGAGGAGGACGGCGTTTACCGCTCCTACTAATGTTGCTTTCCTAGAGGCTCCAACTCCTAGGTAGGGTCGCACTGGGATAATTTCTTTTGTCTCTTGCCATTTATCTTGTGCTGATGGGTCCTCGTTTTGGATCTGCAGCGCCCCCTGTCTCCTCTGTTCTGCTCACCCCCCTCCCCTCCTTGCAGTTGCCTTGCGCATTCCACCGAAGGCCCAGGTGAGCATGTCCGCACGCTTTGCGGCTTAATTTTGGCGCACCCCTCGCATATTTGGTGGCCCCGCAGGGAGCTTGACCCACGACCCCAGTGGGCATTCTCGCATGCTGGGCGACGACTTTCAGGAGACCACATCGCCATGCTTTTTTCCAGGGAAACGCAAGACTCGAGTTCGCCGGAACTCGGGCTTGCCAATCGCATTTTGGCGGGCCCGCCCCGGATTTTGACGGTCCAGCTTTCGTGGGATGTTTGCATGTTGGAGGTGTACAGTCAACGCGCCCAGTAAGGACGCGCGCCGTCATCTAGGGTGCCCTCGTGTCCTTGCCTCTTCGGCCCGTCCTTTATCGTGCTCACTGGTCGCCCGCCGCCCAGACTCCCAACTTCGGCCTCCAGGGGTCGTGCGTCCTTGCCAAATTGTAGGCCCCACAGCGTCCTCTTGTCTGTGCCCGCTGGAGGTGGAGGCCGCGGTGCCTCCCGCGCTCCTCCAGGGGTCCTTTGGGGCCGCGCCTCTCTCGGCCTCTTCGGGGCGTGGAGGCGCCCTCTCGCATGTCTGGGCCCGCCGGGCCCCGCCGCGGTGGGAGGAGTTCTTTCTCGCTGGGCCTCCCAGATGTCGGCGGCGAGCGAGGGAGGGAAGTGAGAGGGAGGAGGCCTTCTCAGAAGGCGGCGGGGCTTCTCAGAAGGCCTCGCGGCCTCGCGCCTTCTGAGCGGTGTTCTGTGTCTTCGGGGAAGGCTGAGGACACTTCTCAGAAGGCCAGGGGACTTCCGAGCCTTCTTGGAAGGTCCGCCCCTTCTTTTTTCCCCCCTGGGCTCGCCGCCGAATGTCTGGGCCCGCCAGGCCTCGCCGTGGTGGGAGGAGTTCTCTTTCGCTAGGCCTCCCAGATGGGGTCCGAACAGATGGGGTCGGAGGATCGAGCCGCATCGCCAATGCATCGGCGATGCGGCTCGATGCGGAGCCCGATTGCGAAGGCCTCATGGCTGGTGCCACCGAACCTGAAGGGAGACGACGACGACGACGACAACGATGGTGACGACGATGACGGGGACGACGACGACGGGGACGACGACGGGGACGACGACGACGACGGCGGCGGCGGCGGCGGCGGCAACGACGACGACGCTGACGCGGGCCAGAGTCCCCAGGGATGGTTCTTGGGGTCTCTTCGGAAGTCTCTCGGGGGCCTCTGGGCCTTTTGGGAGCCTCTTGGGGACCTCTTGGGAGCCTCTTGGGGGCCTCTTCCTGGGGACCTCTTGTGGGCCTCTTGGGGCCTCTGGGAAACCTCTTGGGACCTCCTGGGAGCCTCTCGGGGCCGAATGGTCGAAGTGTCCGTTCGGGTCCCCCGTCTGGGCGCGCTCTTGGAGCCGTCTTGGGGGCATCTGGGGCCATCTTGCAGGCGTTTTGGGCTTTCTTGGGGTCCTCTTGAGCTGTTTTGGGGCCCTCTTGGAGCCCTCTTGGGCCGTCTTGGAGAGATCTTGGCGGCCTCTGGCGCCGTTTTGGAGCGGCGGGAAGTGGAAAAGGCGAGAACGTCCAAATCTTTCAAAAACTAATGAAAATCAATCAATTTGGCCTCTTGGGGCCCTCTCGGGAGTGCTCTTGGAAGCGTCTTGGGGCGTCCTGGAGGCCTCATGGGCAGTCTGGAGGGCGTGAAGGCGTTTTGGACAGATCGTTTGGCGATTGGGGACCCTCTTGGACCGTCTCGGCGGCCTCTTAGGGCACTCTTGGCCTGTCTTGGTAGACTTTCCGAGGCTCCAGGGCCCCCAGGGGGGGAAAACATGTCTGTGTGGCGACCCCTCCCGGGACCCCCTCTGGACCCAGCAGGATCCCCCCCCTGGACCCCCCCAGGACCCCCCCAGGCCCTTCCCCCGGCGCGGGGAAGGAATCAAAGGGAAGGGGCTTCCCTTCGACTCGATTACGGCATTGCTAGATTTTTCTTTCGCTGACAAGCTTGAGGAGGGTACGGGGAAAGTGGACGACGGAGACGGAGACTGACGGAGCCGACGATTCGAGCAGCCAAGCCCCTCACACACGCCGACAGGGTCGGCGGAGTTTCTCAACGCGGACGTCGTTTGATTCATCGCTGACGTCGCCGATGCATCGCCGATGCATCGCCGATGCATCGCCGATGCGTGACCGATGCATCGGCGATGTGGCGCGTTCCTCCGACCCAATTTAATCGAACCCCATCTTGGAGGCCTTCACTTTCCCACCATCCACAAGTTAAGAGCTTCATATTCGAGTCAGACACCAGCGTGAACGTGGCGCTGCCACGGTGATATTCATACGGATTCATACGGATTCATACGTCACAGGATGCCTCTTGGAGGCGGTGCTGCAACTACGTTGATCACTGGGCTGGGGGGTGGGAGCCAGGATAGGATCGACCTGGCAGGCGAGCTCATGGGGAACTGCAGCGCCATCTGTCGAGGGAAGAGAAGCACTGACCATGCCCAAGATGTTGCGGGATCTGGTCGACGTCGTTTGGAGCCATGGTCCATGCTGGCCGTCATCGACTCGGGAGGATTATGCACGAATTGACGCTGACCACGATGGCTGGTGACCAAGATCGACACAACGTTCCTACATTCAGTCTTGGCCTTGGTCCCCGTTCTCTTTCCCTCCAATTTGGGATTCCTCTCGGAGCCACAGCGGTGTAACTAACGTGTATGACTTCCTAGTTTAGTGCTGACAGTACGTTCACCTTGCCTGGCTGCGTGCAAAACCATCCACAACTCAAGAGCATCGTCTTCGAGCCAAACACCAAAGTGAACATGGCACTGCAACAGCAATGCTCATACGTCACGGTTGAGTTGAAACCGAGTCAAGCTATTGAGCACGTACAGCGAAGAATAGGACAAGAGGGAGGAAGGAGCAGAAGTAGGAGGAGGGAGGGGGGAGGAGGGGGATGGGTAAACGAAAACCCAAAGCGACGATCCACGGTTGAGTTGAAACGGAGTTGAGCTACTCAGCACGTGACAAGAGGGAGGACGGAGCAGAAGGGAAAGTGGGAGGGGGGGAGCCCAAAGCGACGACCCAGAGATGCGGACGAACAGGGTCTTGTCCACGAGAGTATTAGGATGGAGCGCCCCTCGCTGGGCTCGGCTCCCCGGGCATTTTTCACCTGCTCCGAAGACTTGTCTCGGCCGGGAGACCTTCCGTACCCCCCGAAATCGGCGGACGAGTTTTCTGGCTTAGCGAACGGGTGATCGTCGAGCAGCGCCAGGTCAAGGATGAGCCGAGCTGGCGGGGCGATAGGGGGCAGGGGAGAAGTCATGGCTGCCTTTTGGATCCCACTGGGCCCCGTCCTGGAAATTGATCGATGTGTACAGAGAGAGATGGAGAGAAAGAGAGAGGGAGAGAGAGCGAGAGAGAGAGAGAGAGAGAGAGAAAGAGAGCGAGAGAGAAAGAGAAAAAAAGTGATATACAGAGAGAGAGAGAGAGGGTTTGTTGGTCTGTCCGTAGCGCTAACGATCGCTTTTGCGTTCGAGAGCCGCGAGAAAGAGAAAGAGAGAAAGAGAGAAAGACTGGCGACTGTGACTGGAGTTTTTTTGTTTTTTTTTGTTTTGTTGTTGTTGTTGTTGTTTTTTATTTTATTATATATATATATTTCCCGGGTGTGTGTGAATGAGATCTCCATGTGGGCGACGCAAACAAACCGGGTCGCCTGCGCCGACACCGGCGCGTAAGCTGCCCGTGTAAGGTCGCGCGTGAGCGCCCTCGTCTCCTATGTAGCGTGCAGCGCGGGCGACCCGCGTACGCTGCGGCGTAAGGTCGCTACGTCATCTCGCGTAAGACCCGCTTTTGATCGTCGCCCATATGCGTCCAAGGGGCTTGCATCCTTATCCTTGGCATCGCTCGGACGTGTACATTTTTCTCGGCGAGGACCATCGAGGAGCATCCTGGATCAGCGAGCCAGAGAATCATTCACGAAAACGAAGAATTCACGGGGAATGGGCGTGCGAGCGGTGTCCCCACGTGTCCCCTGAACTGGTCGCTCTTTTCCCAGAACTTGGATCCCTGTGACTGCCCCGTGCCCTGACTAGCCCGCCGTGCTTGTCGGGGGAGGAGTCTTTGGCACGCCCGCCTCGCTTTTGCCTCTGGAGCCGAGCGGCTCCCACAGTGGCTCCAGACCCGCTCCCGCGGGAGGGATGGACAGAGGGAGGGACGGATCGGAGGGGAGGATGAGGAGGAAGTCGGACGGGGCCAGGACGAGGGTAAAACCGTTCCAGAGCGTTCTGGAACGCTCTCAGAGCGCTCCGGAACGCTTCAAGAAGGCCGCGGGGCCCAAGACATCCTCAAGATCCGTCGGACCTCAGAGATTCTCGATTTATCCTCTTCTCGTCCTGGCTTCGTCTAGAGGAGCGGGAGGAGGAGGAGGGGGAGGAGGAGGAGGAGGAGGAGGAGGAGGAGGAAGAAGAGGGAGACGCCAAGGGAGGGGGATGAGGAGGGAGAGGGAAAGAAGGGTGAGGTGATGAGGATGAGGAGGAGGAGGAGGGAAGAGGGGGGAGGAGGGGCGAGGGGGGAGAGGCAAGCTAGGTGGGCTGCTAAGTTCTACCCTTCTCACCCATCCCTTCTCATTTCGCCGATTTTATCTCCATGCGCAGACAAGTGTCATAATAGCCCTTGAACTCCCCCGAAGACCTCATCGTGTTATGCGCAATCGGAAATGGGGAGTTGCGTACAAGTGAGGAGGAGGAGGAGGAGGAGGAGGAGGAGGAGGAGGAGGAGGAGGACGAGGATGAGGAGGAGGAGGAGGAGGAGGAGGAGGAGGAGGAGGAGGAGGAGGAGGAGCAGGATGAGCAGGAGGATGAGCAGGAGGATGAGCAGGAGGATGAGCAGGAGGATGAGCAGAAGGATGAGCAGGAGGAAACGGAGGAGGATGTGGAACGAGAGGACGAGGACGAACAGCAAAAGCAGGAACTGGAGTGGAAGGAGCGTGAGGAGCAGGAACACCAGGGGTAGGCGGAGGAGAGGAAAGGACGGGGGCGACAACGATGAGGAACGACTCGGATCGACAACGATGAGGAACGACTCGGACCCACAGAGGTGGCCCGCGCTGGGGCGAGAACGCCCTTCTGAACCACTGGAGCAAACCCCGCTCCTAAAACGAGTTCCACGTTGCTTTAGGAGCATCATGTTGGAAGGACCGACTGGAAAATCATACGAGACAGACCAGCTCGGGCTTAGCCTGTGTAAAAACAGTACGCTGCGGGGGGCGCGCAATTCTCAGGCCGTTTTTCATGACCTGACAACAACAGCACCCATGCCTATGCGACCCCATGCTTGTCGGGGTGAAATTTTCTGGGGGGGTGGGGGGTGGGGGTCGCTCGAACGGGAGCCCACCTCGGGGTCCGACAACTCGCATCCATGCCAATAGTGCCTTTCTCGCCTTGCCCTTCCCCATTCGTGTGTGTGTGTGTGTGTGTGCGTGTTGTTCTTCGGTGTGCGCCTGTGCTTTGGCACACGCGCACAAGAACCTCACGTTCTGAGCGTGCTGCGCTGCCCGTGGCTCCCTCTTCCCCCCTCCGTGCCTTTCCTGCATCCCGCCGTGCCCAGTGTGGCTCCGGAGCGTCCCTCGGCTGCCCCGACCGCGCCCGGGAGCCGCATCGCCGCGACAGAGATCTGTGGTGCTGTTCCTCCGCTCGCCCGACTTGCGGCGCAGTCGGCGAGGGGCCGACGGGGAGCGGGGAGCGCGGCGGGCCCCCGCACGCCTGGCCGCCACGGCCTCGGGGCCGCCCCTCCCCTCCCCCTGGAGGCGCGCGGGGACGTGGGGCGGCGCGTCGTGCAGCGCGCGCGGCGGGGCCGCCGAGGACCCCGAGGCCCTGGGCGGCGCCGCCGCCGTCGTCGCCGCCGTTGCGGTGGCGGTCGTCGTCGCCGTCGCTTCGGCGGCGAGCCCAGGGGGGAAGTTCGAGCTTCGAGGTCTGCGGGCGCTTTCGTCGCTTCTCGGCGGTTTCCAAGCCACGGGATGCGTTCCAGCGGCTGCGCCTCGCCGGGAGTGTTCGGGGGGTGCCCGGATCGTTTCGAA